TGTGCTTTTACTGTCTTGACCAGTGAACTTGGCGAACTCTGGGAGCCTGTAATTTGTAGGAAGAGCGACCAAATCATACCATTTTAGGTATGGGCGTTTGTATGAAAAGGTCAGCCCTTTTGGCTTCAGACCGAACTGATTCTTCATCATCTCAGTCACCTTCAACAACTCGTCAGCTTGTGGATTTGGATTTCTCGGTACTTGCTGACCCATTTGTGGATTGAAATCTCGTGTGCCTTGATATCCTAGATGTGGTATCATGTGGAGAGTGTTATAATCTATGCCATAGTGATACCCTTGTGGAATCTCAATCTGTTGGGTCCTTTGCTGGCTTGCTGCTTGAAGTATCTGATTATAGACATAAGGATCTATATCTCTACGGATCCTTTGAATTGATGGTGCTATTTTTTGAGCCGATGACGGTATGTGGCCTGATGTGCCAAAATTGATCATCTGGTTCTGACTTTGCCCCGCTGGCTGTTGCACATGCTGTATCGATGGTCTAGGATTGTACTGTATCTGATTCGTAGTAGTACCTGGAGTTTGTTCAGACGAACCTTGAGGTGCCTGGACGTCACCATTACCAGCTGGTGCTGCTTCTTGATGGCTAGTACCAACTTGATTAGTCCCTTGGGTCGACGGATCTGGAATGTTGTAACAAGTTGATCCAACCTAACCAACTGGAATTCCATGAATCGCCTCTTTCATGGCGTTGTGAAATGCGTCAACGAAAGCTTCATTGCGGCTTGATATGGCATCACGAACAGATTTGTCTATGGCTTCCATAAAGAAACACCTGTGTTCAGCTTCGATTGTATCTGTCTGCCCATGTAGTAGAACTCTTGGTACTAGAAATTTCTGAATAATTGTGCTGTCACATGTTTTGGTGTAGGACAACAAACACTTCTTTTGAAATTCTTTTATAGCTTTGTTGATGGTATCCTTATCTTCATCAGGTAGGTCTTCATAATGTACCATAAGGATGTTGTCGTTGTTGTGAACCATCATGACGATTATGGGGTCCCACCGAGTGTGCCAGAAACGTGTGTCGACACAGAATTTTCATTTCCGTGCCGAGGACACACGCAGCAAGCCGAAAGGGTCCACTCGATGGAGCAGATCCGCCTAGCTTCAGCGCAAGGGTGGTCGATCCTACGCAATCCTCTCGAGACGTGCCAGTCAATTTGACCCTGCAATTGACAAGGAGAGAAAGCTTATCAGTAATTAAGGGCAGAACGTGCCGATGTTGCCAGACAGTCCTGAATGTGCGGCTCTAAGAGCCGATATGAGAGGAGATTGACTAAATAGTTGATTCCAGCATATTCATAAGAATAAATCGATTAGAGCTCATGGGGTTGTATAAGAAGAATCGGTTATCATTCAGGATAAATATTATTTAAGCAAATATCAATCAATGGCAATAAGATATCAATGATAATCGGTTTATACTGAGCCAATGATTACAAGTAACCGAACTCCTTTTTATATAAAGAAACAGTTCAACACCACTTAACCATTTAATAAAGATAAACCTAATGAACATGTTAGATCTCATCTATCACCATGACCAGTGGGGCATGAGGCAGAATCATGCAGGCCGTAGAAACAACAATAGACTCGATGACCCTAACTCATTACTAATATCATTGGGGCATGAGACAGAATCATGCAGGCCATAATACAATAATAAGATCCTGGGGCTAACATGTCTTTCAACTTATCTCTACTTCAATGATCTCGTAATGTGAATTGTTCGTGAAAGCGCTCGATATCGGCTAAACAACCAATTCAGGCATAGCGCACAGTTAAGGTCATGCCTTCTCAGGAACGGGTCTACCAACTAACGATCCCCACTCCATGGTGCCAACAGTGGGGTGAGACGTAGAATCCCACTGGCCATGATGACGGGCCATTGAACGGTTCTCGCTAACTAATAGATCTACTCGAGATAGAACATGCCTTGACCGCACGCTATGCACGATTAATATTGACGCAAAACAGCCGATAGAAACATAACTCATCGCTTAAGATGTAGATTAGATCAATTTTAGATTAGCAAATGATGAGTCAAATAAGATATAAGGCCGATCCAGATCAATCTCAATCGGACAGAGTGATATTGCTGTAATTAGATAAACAATGAAAGCAATAAGCAATACCGGTAACTTAATGAATCTACCAAAGACTGTCATACTAAGGTAGAGCCAATAACTTGACCTTGATCTAGTTCAAGCAGTGGGGTGTGAGACAGAATCACACAGGCCATACTTGAACTAGGCAAGAGTCAATAACTAGCCTATACCAGAGTCGCAGTGAGGGGTCGACCGGATCGATGCAGCCATACGAACAGAGATATAAACCATGACGGTATTTACATACAAGCAGTGGAGGTCGACCAGATCGATGCAGCCGTACTCGCTGAAGAACTCGCCAAGATTTACTCTACTCCTACTCCTAAGGGGTGGCCGGAGCCAAAAAAATAATTGACTTGTATTTGATGTATTGATTGATGTCCTCTACAATAGCCGGGGTTTGATATTTATACCTGGAGTCTAAACATGAATCCTACTCGAGCACGATTTGTTACAACTTTTGGCATAAAATAAAAACATTCCTAATTTAAGATAACTTGGACTCTAATCTTTCTCTTTTTGTAGAGTCCAGCATGTCTCGTCCCAACGCCGATCATAGCCTCTGTCGTTATCTGCTGGCGCTATCTGAAGAAAGCCGATTCTAGTGCGGCATCCGAATCAGTTGGTTTCGATCTGCACGTAATTGATCCCTTGCTGACATGATTTTGGGAGCTCTCGAGCTTCTGAGATCCTTCTTCCAAATTCTAGTGTAAACAGTTAGATACGTACATAGGTATATATTTAGTACTTGGTATATGTATATAGTAGTTAGTACATAGTATACATTTACTTATCTAAATACTAGAGATCTTCACGTTAGTAGTTAGCGTGTATTTTTGACTAAAGGACATGTGTTTCGTTACGTGTTTGAAATAGATGGACAACCTAGTGACCATATATCATGGAGGCACCGTTGAAAGAGATCGCTATGGATATGTTGAGTTTGTTGACATGCAAAGCGTGCCTGTGCTATTCAATGATAGGCCTTCATTTAGTGAGATGGTTGCAAGGGCTTGGGAGGAGTTGCATTGCCTTGGAGATGATGATGATGGCATTGCAGTGGAGGGTGTACTGCACCTAGGTTCTCCTCCCAACATCCTTAGGCGAATGATCCCAATTGGATGTGCGGATCAGTGGGAGAACTATGTGAGATCGGTTTCTGATGCTCAATCTGCCCCCAATGAGCTAGTTAGAGATGCTTGTCACACTCATGATGTTGTGGCAGATCCTCCTCATGAGATCCCTTTGACATAGAATCATCCAAGTAAGTGTCTTATCCGCATAGTTATTGGGAGCTTACCCCATTCCTTACATCCAATTTTTCATTCTTTCCTCATTTTTCTACTTATGTTGCAGTAGACATTCCTGACAATGTGGATGTGCCCACTGTTGCTACGCAAGTGCTCTGTGGAGATGGATTCTGTGGCTTCAATAGTGTTGAAATTATAAATGATTCGGAGCCATATGAGATGGCAAGGGCTCTTTGATTCTAATGATGATCGTCCTGTTGGAGAGCTGACAGAGAGTGATGTTGAGATGCTGAGGCGTATCTTTCTCGGCCGCTGTGATCCAAGAGTTCATGAGTTCAGCGATCTTGCTCATTCCGATCAGGCGTGTGCACAATGACGTGATGATGAGCTCCTAGAAGCTCCCTAGGCCGGCCCTAACATGGTAATTGAGAATGGGAGGGTATTCAAGGACCTCCCTGCATTGAAGAGATGGTTGCAGGCATTTGCAGTGATACGAAAGAGACCTTACAAGGTCTTGTATTTATATGCGGAGCGTCGTTACATAGTTGTGTGTGACAAGGAACGCTGCCCATGGAGGGTTTGTGCAAGGAAGCAAAAGGTCACTGGAAAGTGGAAGATCACAAAAGTTGTCGGGCCACACAATTGTGCTGACCATGTGCTGACACCGAAGCATCGACAGTTGACATCTACCCTCATTGCCACGTGGTTGATTGGAATATTGCAGGGAGAACCCAACATAAAGGTTAGGACAATTATCCGGACCGTTGAGGCATTATATGGAGGTTATGTGATAACTTATGGTAAAGCTTGGAGGGCTAAGCAGCGAGCGTGGAAGATGATATATGGGGACTGGGAGGATAGGTATGAGCAGCTGCTAGTACTTTTCAATGCAATCAAAGCGGTGAATCTAGGCATGCATTATGAGTACATCCCAAAACTAAATGTATGGAAGGATAGGAGGCAAATATTCTTCCATGCTTTCTAGTGCTTCCCTCAGTGTGTCGAGGCCTTTAGGCACTGTCGTCCTGTCTTCTCCATTGATGGTATGTTCTTGATTGGCAAATACCAGAGCACACTTCTTATAGCTATATCCTGTGACGCAAACAACAAGTTGGTTCCTTTGGCATTTGCTTTGGTTGAGAAGGAGAACAATGACAGCTGGGGATGGTTCTTAAGGCTAGTCTAGATACATGTGGTTGGGCCTAGCAGGGAGGTTGGTGTCATATCTGATAGGCACCAGGGCATACTTAATGCCGTGCGAGAGCAGATAGAGGGGTATGCACCTTTGCACCATCATTGGTGTACTCGTGATGCATTACCTCGCCTAGAGTGGGTTGATTCCCTGAATCAAATACTCTGTTACAAAAGAAGTCAATTGCTAATGCTCAGTCATACATGCCTCATGATAAAATAGTAGCACACGCCCATATATAAACAGAACACCCTATGATCTTGTCAGTACAGCACTGCTTCCTCCATCTCCTTGCCTCGTCTACCAACATCACCTTCTAAATGGTTCAAACTAATCTGCTGATGTTGAGACATAGTTCTGCTGATCGTGGCAAAAGAACGCTGACTCTGACACTGGCACCGACATTTTCAGACGTGCATCTCTTCTTCAGTAGTCGAGAACAATCTTCTTCACAGAAGCGTACGTGCCAGTCGCAGCAACCACGGAACCCAGAACAATAATGGTGGCGATGAGCGCGACCTCCGCCCTGCTGCAGCGCGCCACGCCGAAGATCTTGAGGTAGAAGATGCAGGGGAGCAGCATCGCGGCCATGACGCTGAGGAGTGAGCCGACAAGCGCCATGAGGTGTCCAAAGAAGGGCACCGCGAGCGCGACGACGACCGTGCTGACGACCAGCAGGGTCCTGACCAGCACGTTGATGGACCTCTCGCTGCTGCCGCGGCCGGAGCCGGAGCCGGCGGCGAGCAGCAGCCTCTCCTCCACCGCCGTCGCGAGCGGCGTCACCATCAGGGCGTACTTGGAGAAGGGGTTGATCAGCGTGGTGTAGATCGCTAGCTTCGAGCCTATCTTGCCCTCGGGCAGGTTCAGCGTCACCTGGGACTTGACGTCGTCGCCGTACATGAGGTAGCCGAGGATCGCCATGGATCCGTAGTTGAAAGTGCACAAGACGAAGCATATGACAAGCACCTATATGCAAGCAAAAGAGACACGTACAAACTTCAGTCTAGTCTTGCATACTGTAATGTATAACTGCATATGCATAGGGATAAAGTATACTACTGTCCAGTCACTATCATATATTTTTACGCCTCCTATTGTTTAATAGTGAACCATTGTGGTAGAAGACAAAGCATTTGACGCATCAGTTTGGAACCACACATTGAGATGGCAGCGCAGCTGACTCCGAGGCACCAGATGCAGTATCATACTCGGGCCTCGTTCACTTTGCAAAAAAATTGAACACGATAAATAGTACCATTTTCGTCTTATTTGATAAATATTGATCAACTAGGCTCAAAAGATTCATCTCGTAATTCCTAACTAAACTAAACTGTGTAATTAGTTATTTTTTTACCTACATTTAATACTTCATGCAAGCGGCTAAAAATTGATGTGATAGAAAGATAGTGAAAAAAACTTATAATTTGGATGGCATCTAAACGAGTCGTCGGCCATGACAGCTGCTACTGAAGGCTAGTATTTGTTTTTCTAAGGAAACCTATACTGATTGTTACTCCTACTTCACAGCCAGTCAGTCAGGCATTGAGTTCCCTCTTTTGGTATCTGGAACTTTTGCTCAGGACAAATGTTAATTTCACTTTCAACACAAAAAATGCAGTGGTGGAAGACTGGAAGTAGAATGAACTAAGGAAGCAAGCATTCTGTTTTCAGTTATTATGTCATACACTTTGGGGCCATGACCATGAGAATAATGCACAGCTACTCACCCTGGAGAACCTTTTCTTCTCCTTCATGGAGTTGCAGAGCGTCGGGAAAATGGCATGGCCGCAGTAGCAGAAGGTGTAGAGGCCCAGAGCAGTGGGGAGGCCACTGACGTTGAGCATCCTCCCCTTCGCGCGGAACCCGACGCCGTCGGCCACCGCGGTCCACAGCACGCAGACGACGACGACGGCCGACGCGAGCACGCCGCTGGCGGACACGTAGGCGAGCACGCCGAGGCTCCGGAGCCACGTGGTGGGCAGGATGACGAGGGCGACGAGCACGACGAAGAGCTGCTTCCCGGAGACCACGAGGGTTGCGGCGCCACCGCCGTCGCCGCCACGGCCGAGGCCGAGGCTGATGCTGGTGCCCGGGAACAGCTTGTCCAGGTTGTCCCCTTCCAGGATGAGGAAGCCGATGGCGACGAGGTAGAGCTCGGCGTAGAGGAACGCGGACGCGGCGAGGCGGCCGCCGCGCCCGAACGCGAGCGCGCCGATGTCCGGGTAGCCCCGCACGGCCGGGGACGCATCCATGCACCGCTGCAGGAGCAGGCCCGTGTAGCAGCACGCCGTCGCGACGACGAGCAGCAGCGCCAGGCTCAGCCACCCGCCCTCCGACAGCGCGTACGGGATGGACAGCAGCCCGACGCCTGAGAGAAACCAAGAACAACCAACATTGGCATGGCAACGCCCTGTATAACTCCAGTGGAAACGAAGCTGGCAACGCAGGCCGCAAACGCGACGTGTACACACTCACCGGAGAGGCCGTTGAGGCCATTGAAGCAGGTCCACACGAAGCTCGCGCCGCCGTCGGGCTCCGCCGGGCCGAAGCCGTGCGCCTCCGGGTCCTTGCGCGCCTCGTAGGCGTGGAGAAGGGGCTGCTGCACCAGGCCCCGCAGCGCGGCCGGCGAGCCGTCGGGCGGGCCGCGCGACGCCGTCCCACCATTGGCCATATCTTATCCGGCTGCTTCCGCTGCAGCTAGCAAGCTGGCGCCGCGCGTGCACGCACGCACACGCACCCTATGGAGCAGAAGCGAACCGAGCACAGAGCAGAGCAAAGCACCGCCGCGCGAGCCGTAAATAACAAGCCTGCGTTGTTTATGGGGAAAGCTAACGGCTCGTTTTTCTGCCGGTGGCCGTGGCCCGTGGGCACGGTGCCACGGTGACGACTGACGAGACGAGCACGGCGCCACGAGTTGGCTGCGTCTGGTAACAACTCAGTCTCCCCTAATACGTCTTCTATATTGTTGCTTCTCATATCCTCGCTGTGACTTTGCTACCAACTTTACCATCCTGCTGCTGCTAATAGCTCTGCATGCGCGGCCTCACCGTCTCACAGGCACCACCCATCGACCATCGTTGTGCCGCGACCACCGCTCTAAACCTCTCCTCTAGGCTTTGCCAGGTGACACGAAGGCACTAAAAACTCTTGAACCCTAGTCATAGACCTAACCCAACGCCCTCTCACCTTCTTCTCCGATGCCCCTCAAACTCTTCTTTGATGCAATGAAGAGGGGATAGCAGGTGGTACACAAACACGATTCATGTCAGAACAAATTTCTCAGTTTTCACCATACTAGATCGTTCATTTATCCTATGGGAGAACTAGCTACATGCGTATCGCCCTGATGATGTTAACGTGGTATGTTGAATGATGTGATAGGTACATGACGAAACGGCGGAACGGATCATTGATTATTCGACAACCTTCCCATCGGATATTTTGGTATTATTTGCTACGCCTCTGTTGCATCACCTATTGAAAAGATCTAGAAAGAGAATGCTTCAAATTTTCGAAATGGTTTTAGGTAAAGTGCTGTGGTTTTTTTTAACTAGAATACCTTTGTGCTTTGATTATTAGTACATCTGAGTATGACTTTAGATGCCAGCACGTGTATGACACATGGCATGCTTATCTGTTATCTATACCTAATACTAAAGAAGAAAAATTTTTAGCTTCTTTTTTTTTTCCGTCCAACCCTGTCCAACACCGGCTCGGCTTCAGGGTCCGTTCACGGTTACCTTAACAATGCCGAGATTAGGAGTGGGGAATAGAATAGAAAGAAATATGGGGTTTCAGATATAAAGATGCCAGAGAGAGAGAAAATATGGAACAACCTTAAGAGTTTTTGAAATAGATTGGGGTTCCTGACGCAAAATATCTAGATCCGAGTGGATCTCTCCTGGTGGGCTTCTTTTTCAACCTGGGCTGAATCCTTGTAGTTAGCCCGACTTTGTTGTAGGTTGGACCAAGCCCATGCAATGCAAGCCTTTTTTTCTTTTCTTTTGTTTTTCTCCTTTTCTATAAAAAGATCTTGCAAAATTTGTCAAAAATCATAGAAAATCAGAAAAATGTCAAACCAGTTTAGTTAACTTTATAAAAATGTGACCTATCGATAGATGTTATGAATCTTGTTAGTTTGTTTTTTGTGACTTGCTTGCTTGTATTAAGCTCAGCTGGCCGAAGCCTCAAACGTTACAAGGTCACATACACATGCTGGAGTTGCATGCCAGCTCTCTAGTCGATGTGTATCAGAGGCCTGTTTGGCTAATACATGGGCTACTTTATTACACACTCCATTAGCAAAAGAGAGAAATCAAGTAAGCCTTGGCTGAGCTCCACAATCTCCTCCACAACATGGCCAACGATCGAACGCTGCGACTCTCTTCTCTTCCAAAGCTGGACTACATCAAAGCAATTGGTTTCCTGATGAACTTGTTGATAACCAGCTTGGACTGCCATCTTGACGCCATCACGATACGCCATAGTTTCCATAGTGCAAGCATCAAAGATCTGCTCATACCAGATAGCCTGTGCCTCCTTAAAAGCACCGGTGTGATCTCGGACGGCACACGCTGTCGCACCATTGTTAGCTGAATCATAGAAGGCAGCGTCAGTGTTCACCTTCACCCAGCCCGGAGTCGGAGTCTGCCACTTCGGGGGCGAAACCTCTGGCGGCACCTGATTAGGCGGGTGAGATAACTGCCATAGATCAAAGGCAGTGTCCTTGGCCCAAATCGCAGCTTGGTAGACAGTCATCGTCAGCTCTCCATGACGTCTTTTATTTCTCATAGTCCACAATGCCCACATGGCGCATAATATCGTCGTCACCTTCTCCGAGCACAGCCCATTCAAGAGATCAGCCGCCCAGGTCAAGGGATGTAAGGGCAACTTGACACCCGTTGCCGCTTTGACCTGACGCCACACCTCCTTGGCCACAGTACATTCGATCAAAACATGCCTAATGGACTCGTGCAGCACACGCCACCAAAGCACACGTATCTTGGGCGGCGCTTTCAGCTTACAGACATTTTTCCAGACTCTATCTCTCGAAGGTGTGTTAAATCATCCAGCATATGTTACATATGCATGTAGGTTCGTCGATGATGGAGAACGTGTCAGAGGCAGACCTGGAATACGCGGAGGTGGCCGAGGTCATCATCATTGTTCCCGAAGCCTTCATTAACTTTTCGATATCCGATTCCTATCCAAGGTAAGCCCGGTGCATAACCCCTACTTTTTAGTAATTAGTATATTTGTTTGCGCATTAAGTTTTGAGGAGAAAGATTTACACCATATGATGTAGTTTTGATTAGAAACAAAACTTATTTTTATTAAAAATAGGGATTAGTCAATGGTACAACTAATTATTTCGTGAACCGAAGTTTGGGACAGATTATTGTCTAATGAAATCTAAACAAATGTATTTATGTAATTCCAGACGAGGGCTGCCGTGTGAAAAATCAAGAGAGGTCTCCCATCATAATCATTGACGAACAGACCAATCATTTACACAGCGACAAAAAAGTTAAGAAGGATGATATGATGCGTCAAAAAAGCTACAAAGGTCTATATTGAGTCTATATTGAGTCATGATATATTTATACCTAAATACATGGGTAGTATGGAAAAATGTATTTTAAAGTTATAGGATATATTTATACCTAACAATACAAAAAAATTATAAAAGCATACAACGATGAACGATCATGATGGATTTTGCATGAATGAGCAACGTGGACATATCTATTATTTGTTATAATTTGAACCTCATGTTGTATAACTAAGCAACTTTGCTACGGACTACTAGTAGTGTTGCACGCTTGTTTTTTTCCCACTGTTATATATAACGGCTATTGCAGCGTAATGGCGCGAGAGATTATCCACTTCACGGGAAAAACATTGGAGTTAGAGGTCGTTACCCTATACATTTTCGTCCGAGGAATAACCAAAGACTACTAATGATCTTTTCCTCCTCCCATGTATTCTCTTTTTTTATTCCATCTGAAAACGTACGCAGTAAGAATTTGGTTGTCTTCTAGGTTGACATAGGCCGGAAGAAACAAATCTGTTTTCTTTGAAAAGATATTTAGTTATGGTTGTGACTAAGATATACTACAATACTATACAACGATGAACGATCATGATGGAGACTGGAGAGTGGGCATCCTTGCCTTTGAGTTGCGGGCGGCCATGTGCTCGGCGAGAGGCCGATAGCCATGCCACCAGAGTCAATCCAGATCCCCTGGTCGGATTGGCTGTTTCACGAATCATACAGTTTCGTCGCGATCGCCCCACATAGCGCAGATGTTTTGTCTGCGAACGAGATCCATGTGGTATACTGCTAGTATTTATATCTATCTAGAAAAATGTTTATTCACGACGCACGGAGCTCGATGGAGACTTGGGAAGAACCCAAGTGTACGTGAATGAATGATGACACACTGCTGCAGCAGAGTGTAGGGCGGCGACCTCATCAAGTGGTGCCACTGCCACCTCAGTCCTCATCCAATCCATGTGGTAGATAGAGAGCCAGGAAGGGAAGAAAAAGACGGAAACTGCTTCGCGTACAGACCATTTGTGTAACTGCCGTAGCCCCTGATGAATGTCTTGGGCCCAAGAGAACTGTCCCTGTTCTGCTTCGGTGAGCTCGGCCCGGAGGCCCAACCGCCAAAGCATTGCAACCCGGCCTGTTACGCCAACAGCGAGGAGTCGATCGACGAGGCCACGTCAATCGTACTACGAGACTGAATCCTCGGGTCGTGTGGAGTTGCACTGGAATCCAAGCTATTTAACCCAAGGCTTTGTTCATTTTGTAAATTTTTTTAACCCGATAAATAGTATCATTTTTTGTTTTAATCCCAAAAAATATAAAGATGTCTAATCGAATGTACCAATCATGGAATATTAAATATAGGCGAAAAAAAAAGATTTATCTCGTTTGATTGCGAAATTAAACGCTTTTGAGTAATTAATCTATGTTTGAATTTTTTACCAAATACATTTAATACTTCTGATGTACCAAATTCCAAATTCTCGAACTAACAAGGGAGAAATTAATTAAGGTGGATGGAGAGAGTGAAAAAACTTGGAATTTAGATGACATCTAAACAAGGCCCAATTCTACAGCTGCCCATTAGGGTTTCTTATCGCAGGAACAGGAGGAACCACGCCAACGAGAACAGACGCGCGGCCGCCTTATCTCTCGCCGCCATGGCAACTAAGGAGGCATCGACTCTCCTGAGCCGCGTCTCGCGCAGCGCGTGCGGCCGGCGTAGCCGCAGACGTCGCTCGTGCCGCCCGCTTAAGCTTGGACCTCATATGCCACCCCAAGAGCTGCTCAAATCGCCGCTTCCCTGCCAGCGCTGATTACCGGCCAGCACTTACCAGGTAAACCAACCCCACCCCACCCTCTTCTCTTTTTTTTTTGGTTGGAATCAACCCCACCCTCTTCCTGTTGCAGGGGGTCCTAGTTTTCGTAGATAGCTAGGGAGGAGGCTACGAATCCATCCATCTCATAAATCCTTTGTGCTCGCGCGAAAAACCCAATTGCATGCGATTCGTTGTGCGTTCTTGACACTACTAACTCATATGAAACTGTCATAGATGATTCTACGACTCCAACGGACAAGGACCTTGAATCGGATGAAGCTGTATGGGCCTTATATGAGC